TTGGAAGGGAGGGGGCTGGTCCAGGAATATTTCTCAATGACCTGTGAAATTATCTGAGAAATCATTAAAGGATGAAGATTGAACATTTGACTCAATCATTTGCAAAAATGTTTTACAGTTCAGGTCTGGATGACACTTTTAAGGGAAATATTTGGTTTTTGGAATGAGTGCCAGATTAAAATTCATGTAGAGACCTTGTATGCTACCTAGTCATCAAGGAGGTGTTCCAACATGTGAAAAGGAATTCATTTATGAGATGTATTAGAGCTACAATTAGTAACACATATGGTGGGAGCTTTTATACTCAGAACAGCTGTCTTCCCTGAGGGACTGTTTTCATCAGTAGAGAGTTGCAATGTACACTTTCAATAATTGGACTGCTCTGTTTCAGTTAAACAAATTATAAACATTATAAGACTTGGTGCCAATAAAATAGGAGGCCCAATCTAGGATGCTGAGAAAGTCCAAATATTTATATTAAGAATAATTCTATAATGCATTAGCAAGTTATGAAGTTTCTTTTAATTCCTTTCGAAAAGGAGAAGTTCCTTCCCCTAACCCAGTAGTTGCCTGAAAAAAATTTCCTGTTGAAAATCCATAGTAGTAACATATGGGAAAGAAAATGCAAAGCGAATATGGTTCATTAAAAGTAGAGCCAATGACCACAGCCGAATGAAGAGCCAGTGAGTAGACCAGCTCTTCATAATTCCTCTCCAGACAAGGAAATGACCTGAGAATATTCCATACAGTGGTTCCTGGTGAGCAGACCACAAGACAGCAGTCTCTGGCAGGTTTGGGACTCTGGGAGAGAAGGAATTATCATCTTGCTCAAACCACAATAGGTGACTTCAAAAGAACCCTGGATTTGGACACTTCCTTTTAAAATCCGTTTTGGAAATGGCCTTTTAACTGCTTTTCAGATATTTAGAACCTTTAGATCAGGGGTTCTCAACCTTGGCAACTTTAAGACTTGTGGACTTCAACTCCCAGAAGTCCTCAGCCAGCAAAGCTTTCTGGGAGTTGAAGTCCACAAGTCTTAAAGTTGCCAAGGTTGAGAACCCCTGCTTTAGATCAACAAATCTGAAAACACCAGATGGGCTTCCTTCAATCCAGTTTCAAATACAAGTTTAAGGATTTAATTTTTTCATGGCATAAACAGCAAAAGGTTAATAAGAGCTTTGATTCTGAAAAGTTATAAACAAACCAGGGGTCCAGATGGATTTGAAACAAGAATGTGCAATTATTTATAAGAATCCTTCTAATGGGAAACTGCTTTTGTTTTGAATTCTTAAAAACAATGATAGGATAACTCTTTGAAGGTTGGACACTAGCGCGAACTAGAAGGAAGTTAAGATTATAACTAAAGGAGAACACTTAAATTTGATTGGTATTGAATGCAAAAAGGAGCAAAACATTTTAGCAGTGGACATATTAAAGGATAATTTTGAACAAATGGACCCAGAAGTTAATTTTAAAGTATCTGCCTGTATAGATACAGTGTTTAGATGTCGTGAAAGAGGTACATGTTTTACTGGACAAGACTGAGACTAATCTGAAAGTGGATTTTAAAATGATAGGCAAAAAGAATGATATGGGAAATAATGGTATATTTCACATACAGAAGAAACTGGCAATTTCTTAATAATTAAAAGTATATATACATAACAAACAAAGAGTGACCTGGATAATTTTCCTATTTGGATTTACAAAGAAGTTTGTTAAAACTTTAAAGAATTTTGGGGGAAAAAATGAAAAGAAATCGAGATTTAGGACATTTTTTGAAGAGACTAAAGACCAAGATTGTTAAAAGTAAAAGGAAGGAATATAAATTCAATTTGCTGTATTTGATTAAGGTTAAAATAAATATTTTGTTATGCAAAAGGGTATCATGCAGAGATTCAAGATCTGTTTCCTCTGTTGTACTTGAGTACAGGTATCAGAATAATAATCTTTAATTGTAGGAAGATGAATTTCAATTTAATGCAAGAATAATACTAACAGCAATTTGACAGTTAACCAATTACTAAAGAAGAGACTTCCCCTTCACTGAGTATATTTGAACAGAGACTAGACAGCTACCTATCAAGAACCATTTTCATTTGAATATATCAGCAGGAGCTTGCATAGTTTAAATGGCTCCTTCCAATGCTATCATATCTCTAGGAAGGTAATTAGAACTTTAAGGTGCTTATCATGCCCATATTGGTATCATATCCATTTGTTTTTCTTTAATCTGTCTAACTCAAAAACTGCAGGCTAGATGAATACAGCATCTAGTAAAAGAACCTTCAAATTCACTGGGTTGTCCTTGAGATTAAAAAAAAAAAGACTTAAATGCATCTGAGCATAAGGGTTTGTTTTCAGATGTTCTCAAGATGTAACTTAATATTCACACATGCTTTTCTTTCTAGAGCAAATTTAGAATAAAGACCAAATAACATCTCTTTATTTTAAATTGTAAACTGCAATGTTTACCTTGAATTTAGAGGATTTTCATCTCTCTTGTAAGAGGTTTTTATCTTTATTGTAAATTTATAGTGTATTTTTGTTACACATTATGCCAGTAGAGAAGAATTAATTTAATTCCACTATCCCAAAGGTGCTGTTCCCAAAAGGCAACTGGACTTTTTTGGTTTTTTTCTTTGAAAATATAGTGCTTCTCATCCAAGAACTTCTTGAGTTCTGAATTGAAAAAAAAAATGAAAAAACAAACAAACAAACAAGAAAGTCCAATTGTCTTTTGGAAAAAACAATTTTGGGACAACCATAATCTGGATGATTGAGAATCTCCATGGATATAATTCCATCATCATATTATTGACTTAGCAACAAGCATCTCTTAAACATCTTTCCTCCAAGCAAATAAAATTATTCTAACTGTAAATATATTTCAAAAAATCTGCTATTTTAATTTGTTCAAATTAATTTTTGATTTGTTCATTAGAAAATAACTGAGATTTAGGATCTTGCAAGATGACTGCTTTGTTGCAGGAGGAAAGTTCATTTGTTATTCATTATACAATATTTGGTTTAATGTTATTGTGCAAGATTCAAATATTTTTACTCCAAAGTATTGCAGAAAAGAACTACGTTCACATGTTAAAGTTCATAATATTTTCCACATTTTAAAAAATAGGACTGGTGTCATTTAATGCTCTTATTTGTAATTGAATTGCTATAGAATATACTGCAAAAATTATGGTCATTAGATGGTAGCGTTTTGAGCACTTTTAAAGAAGCATTTTTAAAAAAATTGAGACATTTATTTTTTAAAAAAAGCTATTATCACAATAGAAAGGCCAGTATGCAGCCATTTAAAAATGTAAAAATAACAAAAATGAACATAAAAATAATTATCCCTGCTCAAAAGCACTGCATTATCATTTTGTGAATTGTTTTCTTTATAAAATTAGTGTACGCTGCCTTTCCCTAGAATTTTTTTTATAAAAAAAAAAACTGCAAAAAGTATTGAAGTATGGCTATTTCCTCCTATAGCCAGCTTACAATATCACCCCCATTACATAAGAAAGAGGTTAGTATGCTTGAAGTGTTTACAGGATTTAAGCTTTTTTAAAAAACAAAAACAAAAACAAGATTTCCCTGGTTGCGCTGCACTTCCAGACAGTGGAATCTTTTGTTGTTAGTTGCTAGCAGGTGATATACTGTAGGAAGAGGAAACTTCCTTTTCTCTTTAAAACTTCTCATTTGCATCTGACATATATGATAAAATTCCTCTTACTGCTTCATGTATGCTACAATTTAATTCATTCTGTAAGTTTGGTTTGCCATGTGGACTGAGATGGTGTATCAAATTAATTCCTCTTCTTTTAAAGTATTAAGATCTATTGCAAAAAAGTCTGAAACATGCTTTTGTCAAACAGAAAAATGTGATGTATAGTTGATTTCTGTTTCAAAATTCAGGCCAAGTATCATTTTTTAAATAGTGGATTTACACAATATACTAAACTATTATTTATTCTAGTTTGGCATGTTTGGTGAACCTAGTTACTGCAACAGCAAAACATGAAAAATATTCCTTGAGAATACTCTATGTATTAATTTATCTGTAGCAATATTTAAGATGACAGGCATAACAAAAATGTTGCTACTTGTAGTATTAGGGATTTAACAAAGCCTTTTAAATTTTTGCAGAGCTAGTATAAGATCCCCCAGCAAGTACCTTCCCATTCATAGAATAATAGTGCCACCATGTGGTAGACATTTAACATGGAAATATCACAAGGCTCTATGCAGCAAAAAGAAACATTTCGTTCTGTTAAATTGTTTCCCAGCCTGTATTCCGATGAATCACAATGTACTCAAGGAGACAGACTTGGTTAATAGGAGGAGATATTTTTTTTTTGGGAAGAGAGCAATGAATTATCCAGCAGAACCCAGAAAGTCATTTTTTGAAATATCTAGCCCCAAATTTTCTTTATTGAATTGGGCTTGCTCTCCAGCTAGCTGATAGTGTGAAAATGACATCCAAGTGCAAAATTAGACACAATACCAGTCCCTTAGTCATCATTCACCTATGGAAGCTGTGCACTCCTACCCTGTACATAATTGGTACCTATAGTGTTTAGAAACCATGAACGGAGCCTGAAGAATAGCTTATGTAACAAAGCTACTCCTGCCGTGAAACTGAACTCACTGAAGTTCAGTGTCAGTGTTGTGTACCGCTGATCTTTATTCCTGAATATCCAAACATTTATACAGATATCCAGAGATGAAAAACCTTATACATGTACAATTCACAAAGATGAATTGATATATGGTTGGAGTGGGAGCATTATGAACCCCGATAAATTTAAACCAAAGAAGAAAACAAACCTCAGCTAACGTTATTTCTTTAAATTAACACACAGAAACCAGAATCACTGTAGCATTTTAACAGCATTCATGTCATACTTAGCATGGTTAAGATTAAGTTATAAACATGCCCTCTCCCTGGAAGTTGTCCATCCTATGAAGAGCATGTAGCTAATAAGCTGACCATCTTTCACATAGCTTATTTTTATTTATTGAAATTCAGAGGCAGCCCAAGTCCAAACAACCCTGGACGTTTTACAATTAAAACTAAAAGGAATTATAAAATTGAACAAAAGAGAAGCAGGCATATTGCCAAACAGACAGTACAATATAATAAAGGCAACTGATTGGTTCAATATCTATCGTACTTCCAAGTCTTGGAGAACACTCTAAACTTGACATCTAAATGAAGAGTTTGGTACACTATAGAAGCCAGAGGAAAAAACATGGCTTAGTTCTCTATTTTCTTCTAGACCAGGGGTGTCAAACTCACCATGTCCTATGACATTTCACGATGTGTAGAGACTTTTTTCCCCTTGCAAGAGCTGGGGTGGGCGTGGCTTCCGCGTGACGCATCCGGCATGTGGGCCGGCAGTTTGACACCTCTGTTCTAGACAGAGGAAAAATAAAGGACCCACATTCAGATAATATTCTTAACTAGACTAAATGATTGCTAGGTGATTCATTGACCATATCATTGCAAGGGGCATCAGTAATGAGTTGTGTTACAGTAACTTTAAAAAAAAGATTAATAATGGAGGTTCTATTCAGAAAATGTAAGGTTACACCTATTAGAGTGAGCCGTTTTTCATTAGCTATTGGTACTTCCAATATAAACAATACATACATTAAATGCATGATTTCAATTCAATTAAAAATTCAGTTTCAATTTTCCATTATTACTTCCTGCAGTTTGACTATTTTTACATTTAAGATGACCTGTAGCTAATGACTGACTTTTAATTAACAATGATCTTGAAGTGGAAATTCAGTTATTTGTAAACATTAGATATCAGTAAATATTCAAAATCACAAATGTTTACTCTTTTATCCAGAACAGAGCAGAAAGCCATAAATCACAATATTGTATGCTCCCTCCTCTCCCCAAAAATCAGAAGCCTTATTCCCTGTTGTATTACACACTTATTTTTCAGAGAACAAAATTCTGAATCTTTCCTTTTTTACTAAGGAAATTGAACTGTCACTTTGCATGGAACTGTGTGTTTCAAAGTATATGCACATAATTGGACATTATTAAATATCAATACAAATTTGGTCAGAACCAATGAGTTGCAACTGAACAAACAATATAAGCAAATATTTCAATTGATGCATCTGAAAAGGGCATTTCATTTATGCCAGTTTCAAGCCTGCATATGGAGGCCATGAACTTGGAAAGTTATTTAGAATGTGGTGTAACCAGGTGACTAGGAGCCACTTTTGGTCAGCTATGAGCATTTCATTCATGAGAAACACGGTCCAAAGCCACATAAAAACTCTTTTTATCATCCAAGCAGTGCCAGCCAATAGGACCAATTTCACAGTCTGCGCAGATCAGGAACTTTACATTTCCAACATCCTTGGTGAAACCAACATTTTCAAAAGAAAACATGTCCTCAACTAGCCAATGGTCCTGCAAAACATCCCCTTCTAGGTCACTGTTTGTCACCAAAGCGGTCTTCTTCTTCATAGCAGGAAGAAACAGCTGTCAAATAACAAAAGCAGCTTGTTATTGATGAGCCAATGTAGGAGAGAGAAGAGAACATTGGAGTTAGATGGGGAGGCTTGGTTTAAGTTTCTACTTAATCACATCATTTACAGTGTGCCTTTAGCGCAAATAAACCCATATTTCTGCATTACTGAGAGTGAGAAATGAGGAGACCCCAAAGCCAGCTAGTCTGGGATACAATTACAAGCAGCCACATAATTGGCATAGTGGAGAGGGAGCTCCAGAATGGTGTCAAATACAAAACTGGCAAGATAAGGTATTCAGTTGCTGCTAAGATTCCTCTGGTCTGGATCCTTGATTTAATTTCAGGCACATTTCACTACCATGACAAAGTACCTCATGCATGTCACTCAGCTATACATTGGAAGGCCAAGGAGGGAAGGGATGTCTTTTCATTAGGGACCTAATCAAAATAATTTTCCATCCTCAGAAAGTTTAGCTTTGTTTAAATCTATCTGTCGATCAAGGAATTGGCAACTCCGATTTCATCTGAGGCTGGAAGTTACACGGGGGAGGAGAGCCTCTTGACTGGCGACCACCACCGACTACAGCACAGCGGCGGGCCGAATACGCCCTACCTCTCTGCGGGTGAAGGTTGCAGCTCCGGGCAAAAGGACGCGGGAGCCGCAGCGCTGGCAAAGAACGGCTTTGCGGTTCCGCCCACTTGCGCACACGAGCTCCTCCGGTCCCAGCTCAGCCGCCTCCATCGCCGAACTGGGCGCCGCCATACTTACGCAAGCGCAATAGAGCAAGGGAGGAGTGTCTTCACGGCGGCGTTCCTCGACTTCAGCAACTTTAAACTGTGGACTTCAACTCTCCACCCAACTATGGCATTCTGGGAGTTGAAGTTCACAAGCTTAATGACGCTGACGTCAGGAAATGTTGCTCTACCCGGATAGGCGGGATCTGGTTACCCTCCTGTCCACCGCATTTCTGAAAGTGGGAGCGGCTACTGAAACCGGGAAAAGTGTGTGGGGGGGGAGCTTTCCAGTTGCCTCTGCTGTGCTTGCTGCTGGAGTCCTGTCTACATCAGATTTCAAGTAAACAGTCAAGGATCACAACGTAGCATCTGACCCAGGAAGAAATTAAAAAGTAAAACCAGGTATTTAGACTCAAGATACCGGCTAGTTTGATTCAATTCCGAAAATGACAGGGCTTCGACTTGAAAACCCTACTTTACCTTGTGACTACAGCTATACGTAGGTTTAGTATCTATTAGGAGACCATGGTAGCTCATAGATATAGTAAAAAGCGTGCCCAAACATTTCGGCATCGGTTATTTATTAGTTCACTTCAGCATAAACGGTAATTTTCCATAATTTCCCATGAAAATGCCGCCTTCGCTTCGGAAAGAGCAAGCTACAACTACTGATCCTGACGTCCGGGTGATCGCAGAAAACCGTTCCTTATGCCAATTCAATATGGTTTTACATACCGAAGGAGTGCTAAACATCTTCAAAACAAACGGCTTTAATTCTTAGTATTTTTATCAATGTGCGAATGGACTCACTGCATCACTATTATGCTGTAGTTTTCTCTTTTGCCCTTTCAATATTATCATGAAGAGTATTGTCATGTCTCATAAAAGGCTCCAAAATTTTACTGTAATTACCAAAAGCAAATTAATAAACTATGCACCCAATTTGAGAGCTCATATAATATAAACACGAAATTATGCAGATAACTAATAAAATCCAGGAATTCTATAAATCAGGGGTCCCCAACCCCCAGTCCATGGACCAGTAACGGGCTGCAGCTTGCCAGCAACTGGGTCCGCACAAACAAGCAAAGCCCTATCTGTGAGATGCAGGCAGCACACAAAACCACACACCCTCTGGTCTGCGGAAAAACTTCTCTCCATGGAACAGGTCCCTGCTGCCCAAAAGGTTGGGGACCTCTGGCTTACATAGTAGCTGTCTTAATCTTTTCATGAGGCAGTCTGAAAACAATTATATGAAATTAGTTATTTTCTAGTTGTAAAAACCTGTACTTCAACAACATTGTTGACTTTTAAGTAATAGCCACAACAGTATTAGTTTACATCTATTTTCACAATAAAATCCCTTCTATATTAATGAGAGTGATAAAGGTTTCAGTTTTAATCTTTTTTAAAATATGACAATATGATTAAAGAATGTTAGTGTCTCTTAAGGAAATAAAACACAAATTCAAAACCCAGAAGGCCAGGAAAATTTAAAATTCCTATTATGTAATCATAATTACTGTTAGAAACCTAGGTAAGCCTTCAAAGAGTTATATATGATATGCTCTTGGCAATGTTATATTTAGCCTTTTTTAAATCAATGACACCTAAAAATGAACCCAGTATTTAATATAATAGTGCAAGTATAATCAATCTATATAGAGATATCAAATATTTGAACCAGCCATCCTTTTATTAAAAAATACATATGAAAGGAATCAAACACTAGTGTGATAGGTCAGGATTTTTAAATCAATGTTATTTGAAAGTGCATAATTAGTCTATTGGACCCCCATCCCCAAAACAAGAAGTCACCCACACCCAAGAAAATAAATACATTCATCCCTTGGTTCCTGATTGGATAACACACACAAAGCCTCAGTAGATTTATGGGAGAAAATGCCAAGGTCACACTGAAAGCCATAGCACATAATTGAGGATGGAGGAGCATTATCCACAGGGTTATGTTTCCACCAGCAAAGTGACTTGTCTTCACGTATCTAATACATGCTGCATTATATATCAGAGGCATATTAAGGAGATAGGGAGCTGGGAATCTTAGGTGCCACCACAGAGGAATGACTTGAGCAAGTCAATAGTTCCAGCTTGCTTTGGAAATGATTATTCAAAAATCCTTAATGGATAAGAAGGAAGTTAACTTTTCTGGCTGAAGCATCAGAAATACAGAATAACAAAACGGAAATGCAAAAAATGTGTACTGATATTCATCCTGGACATACACACTGCAATCCCTTTATAGGCATCACATTTCAACCTTATTTGCAGTGCAACTTGAAGGTGATCACTGTACCTTTGGGAGTGTCTTATGATTTGAAGTGATAACTCATAGTGCGTGGGCACATCCAATCCCTAAAAAGTACCTTGGATAAAGGTTTTCTTCAAAAGCACATATTATTTATAAATAACTGCCGCATTCAAGATGCCAAGAACATCCTTCATTGTTCTGCTCCTGGCAAGAGTTTGTAGCTTAGAAGTCATATGTAAACATAAACCTGGTTGTTGCTTAAGCACTAGCACATAATTTTTTTCTCTAGTGCATATTGATTCTAGCCCCTGGTATTTTTTAAAATATTTAAAGATGTAGTGCTGTCTGTTTGCTTGCCTATTGTTTTTCCCAGCAGACATGACTGCATATCCCAGTAGCTATATCCTCTATGTCTGCCTCTTGCCCCACCTTATGTATTGCATATGTAAAGTTTGTATACTGATATACAGAATCTTTCATTTTCATAGATCAGTTGTGCCTGATTGCTTTCCAGAAGGACATGGGCAAGCTGGTGCAGAATCTGAAAAAAATATCCCAAAAAAGTTTGATCTGCTCATACGATGTTCACCAGGATATTTGGTATATGAAAATATTCAGGAACAAACTGAACTTTGGATGTGCTCAAAACTCAATGAGTACGTGCTGATGATTAGAGACAACTGAGATGACGAACTTAATTTTAGATATTCAGCAGACCAGGAGGCAGACATTCTTGCAGCTCTGATAATTCATTTTTACAAGTTTAGTCTACATAAGCATGCAGTTCATCCATTGTCAAGTCAAAGTGCATTGTGTCTGGGTTTTTCTTCAAACCAGAATCAGTAGATTTGTTGATGTTTTGCAGCATAATCCGGATATTAAAAGTGACCTGATTCACAGCTACAAGATGAATAATTCCAAGTCAATCAATGTTTTTTCTGGTAATTGTTCCATGGAAGTGCTCTCCCAAGCCTTTCCTAAAGTCACTTCTCCCGTAGCACACAAACACCAGCATCACAACGTTGGGTTCCTAGTGATGTCACCACTTCCCAGTTGTCGATGATAGGATCATAGCATTCAATACTGCTCAGGAGTGAGTTTCCATCATACCTGTATACAATAGAGATTTACAGATAAAATCTTGCTAAGGTCCAGATTATAGTCAGAACTATCACAATACCTTTGTCAGAGGAAAGTAAAGCTTTTCTCAGAGCTTTTTAAAACTATTCAGAAATTAGTGTAAGGCAAAGTTTGCTATACAGACAGTCCTCGAGTTACAAGTTCATTTAATGACCATTCAAAGTTACAAACATCACTGAAAAAAGTGACTTATGACCATTTTCAAACTTAAACTGTTGCAGCATCCCCATGGTCACGTGAACAAAATTTGGATGCTTGGCAGCTGGTTCATATTTATGACAGCTGCAGTGTCCCAGGGTCACATGATCTCCTTTTACGACCTTCTGACAAGCAAAGTCAATGGAGAAGCCAGATTCATTTAACAACTGTGTTACTAACTTAACAACTGCAGTGATTCACTTAACAACTGGCAAAAAAGGTCACAAAATGATGCAAAACTCACTTAACAAATGTCTCACTTAGCAACAGAGGTTTTGGGCTCAATTGTGGTCATAAGTCGAGGACTACCTGTATCTACTTTTACTCATACTATTACTATACAATAGACCAGACATGTCAAACTCGCGACATCACATGACGTCGCGCAACGTATTGGAGCTTTTTCGCCGTTGCCGGCAATGGGGCGAGCGCGGCTCCAGTATGATGAAACCGGCCCACGGGCCGGCAGTTTGACACCCCTGCAATAGACCAATTTCCATCTTACATTTTTACAGGAAATTTAGGACAAGGACAAGTGCACTTCATTAATATATAATCTAGGTATGGAACCAGAATGCACTGTCATTTTATATACAATAAACTGTTGGTTTTGTCAACATGACATAGACATAGAACAGCCTTATTTTTTAATATCTTTGGTTTCAAACCTACATCATAATGAGGTAGATGTTAAAAGTCACCTAAAATGATCCCCTCCAGGTGTTGCACTTCAGGTGAATCCCTGTGATCTAAGTCAGGGCTTTTCAACATTTTCATAGATTGTATCACTTTTAGGACGTGACAATATTCGAGTACCATCAGTGCTTAGCAAGGTGTCAAAAACATGATGACTAAAAAAAATGGGGAGGGGATTTTGGGTTTTAGTGATTAGATTGGTTTGTTATAGAAATGGCTAATTTATACTATTATGAAAAAGTAAAAAGTTGAGGTTTGGTGTTAATGCTTCATTCTACTGCAACAGAAGAAGTCAGAAGTCAATGCCTTTTCTTTTTCCCTTCTCCCCCTCAATTCCTCCCCCCCTTTTCCTCCCCACTGTGTCCTACTATTCGCTTTTGTATTTTTGTATTTTATTCTATAATCTAATAAAATGTTATAAACCATTAAAAAAAGTACCGGTTTTAATTTCTTGGTGGTGGTTCCTTTGCTGAATTACTTTCCCTTTGCACTGACAAATATATGACAAATTTATCCATATTTATTAATATGCATCACTATTTTGGTGGTCAGCTGGCTAGTCTGCCCTTCTTCCTCTCTCCCTCTCCTCCCTTTTTTTTCTCCCTGCCTGCTGGGCTCTCCTTCCACAGCCTCTTCTCCATCCCCTTTTTTCCCTGTCCTCTTTTTTCCCCTCTCCTGCCAAAACCTGCTCCTTTTATATCCTCTCCTCTCTCCCTTCCTCCTCTTCTCTCTGGTGCATCTCCAGCTGACTTTTCTCCTCAA